CGCATCCTGTCGCAGGAACCGCCGGCCCTTCCTTCCGCGGGAAGCGGTGGGGCGACTGCTGCCCCGGCCTCGGGCATTTCCGAGCCGGCCCCGGGGAGGGGACACGGTGGGAGACAGACCGGCACCGCACACTCAGGTCACCCGCCAGAACAGGCAACATCGAAAACGTGTCACAATAACCGACATCTATGGGGCCTGGGGCTGTCAGTCCGTGACTTGGCGCGAGGTCATTGGGACAGGCCCTCCGGGGAGTAGTTGATTGGACAACGGCTGCGAAACCCACAAATGCCCCATCCCCGTGACCCACTGATTCCCCAAGGAGTTTCCAGGAGGGTGTTCACCACAGTGCTGTCTGAAAGGGGCACGGGTTTGAGACAACCTACGTGCCCATCCGACTGGATGGTCTGGTTGAATGTGAACTATCCACCGCTTGCTCCCCACCGCAAAGGTAAAAGGCCTGAGCCTGACAGATCCACCACTCAGGCAACCATGCTGCTGGGTGACAAGGGCCAGCTGCAGACGTTGTGGGGTAAGGAGCACAGATTTCTGAGCCCAGACAGCCAGTTCCGCTTGCTTCCTGTGCAGCTTTGAGTAAGTTGCTTCTCCTCTCTGGGCCTGTTTCCCTGGCTGTACATTTTGGAATAGTCCCTACCTCTTAGATTCATTGTAAAGATCGATCCAGATAGTACACAGAAAGTGCTTAGTAAAATGCCGGGCACACGGTGTTATTTTTTTATTGTTAAGAGGCCAGGATGACAAACAGTACAAATATATATGTATGGAAAAGTGTGTGTAGATGCTGTGTTAAACCCAGAGAGTTTGAAAAATAGTTCCCTCCTCCTCCAGTAGCTCAATATGAACAAGAATCTGTGTCCCCCCCCCCCGCCGCCAGCTTCTGGGTTTGGCCATACCCAGTGATTTTGGGTTGGGGTTTTGTTGTTGTTCTTTTTTCTCCTGCAGGTTCCATGCTCATGGTTTCTTCCTACATTACCAGTGACCCCTGCATCAGGCCTTGGACCTCTGTCTACACTCACCCCTGGCACCCTCATTCAGTTTTAGGGCTCTAAATGCCACCTCTATGCAGACTCCTAAATTTAGCTATCCATCCCAGTCTCCTGTGGGGGTCTAAGGTATTTCAAATAGAACAGGAGCCAAAGAGAATTCTTGCTGTTTCCTACCAGTCTTCCAATTGAGGGCTCCTCCTTGAATCACTTTTTCTTTTTTAAATATATTTTTATTGATTTCAGAGAGGAAGGGAGAGGGAGGGAGAGATAGAAACATCAATAATGAAAGAGAATCATTGATTGGCTGCCTCCTCTGCACACCCCATACTGGGGATAGAGCCCCCAACCCGGGCATGTGCCCTGACCTGTAATTGAACCATGATTTCGCGGTTCATAGGTCAACAATCAACCCCTGAGCCACTCTAGCTGGGCAGAATCACTTTTTCTCCTTCCCTCACACTCCAAGCCTTTCCCATCTTCCTGGCTCCATCACCTCCCACCTGGATGAGGGCAGTGGCTTCCTCCTTGCCCTTGACCCCCACAATCTATTTTACTCAGGAGCTGCACAAACTGGATCTTTTCCCTCTCCTGGCTCTCCCTTGCTTCTAACACACTAGCCTCCTTTCTGCTTGCAGAACAGGCCACGCATGTTCTAGCCCAGGGCCTTTGCACTTGCTGTCCCTTCTGCCTGCAATGCCTTTCTCCAAGATACCCACACATCCATCTTCATTTTCTTCAGATTTTTGCTGAAATGTCACCTCTTGGGGAAGGCCTTCTTTGGCTACCTGACTAAAAGAGCACCCCACTCCACTCAGTCTTCCTTAGAGTACCACTCACCATTTGAGAAGATACATTTATGTTTTATTTAGCATTTGCACCCCCATTCAAATGTTTTATGAATGAATGCTCTCACCCCAGGCCAAAATGAGTGAATGATGTTGTCTGGGGTAAGCAGATGCTAAGAGCTTAATATTTATTATCTCATTTAATCTATGGCTTCCGATGGCTCTTAGAATTTCCCAAACTTCAGACAGTTGACAGTCAGGATTTTTATCAGCTCTGTGTAACAACTATGTAAGTATTATTTATCTAATTTTAAAAACTTAATGGTGAATTAATCACTCAGCATACTTAGAGGGTAACAGTTCATAAAAGTTACAATGAAAACGAAATACTGTCATAAGATCCTGCTGGAACAGTAGCCAGTGTGAGGTTCCAGACAGCTTTCTTAGTTACAAAGGAAGATTAGCAAAGTTAAAGTCACATTGTTGCCAAAGGAGGAAGACTATCCTTAAGTCAGAACCAGCTGGGACTAAAAGCTGAAAAGCAGGAGAAGCTGAGAGATGTATTCTGTTATTTAAATAACAATGAACCACTTTGTCCACTGTCCCAGAGTTAGGAAGACTCTGCTTCTGGAAGAGGGACAACAACCCTATGACTGTCCTGCTGGACCTGGGCCCAGTGCCTCTGCGGCCTAATCTTGCATCACCCTCCAGCTATCCTGACCTGCTTTCGTGCCTCACACTTGCACAGTCTTCCCAGCCACCCGGCCTTTGCATATGCTGTCTCCTGGAGTGCTTTTCCCTTCCCTGTTCACCTAGGGAAGTGTTTGCTGTCTGCCCCCCATTTTGATCCAGGATCCCTATATTTTTTGACACTTAGATCAAGAGTTACTTTTCTTTTTTTTTTTCTTTTTTTAAATATAT